GAATCCTTATGCCTATATTAAAAGAAAGTTTCGATTCCTAGATGCAAGAAGAGGTCTTTGGAAGTATTTTTTAAAAATTCTAAAAAATCTGAAAACCGGCCATTTCATATGTGACAATCTAATATAACTGTTATGCAAAATGCAAAAATTGACAACTGGGGGATAAATAAATAAAAAGCAGAAAAAGGTGTTAGGATGATCACGACGATGCGAACGTAAACGAGTAGCATTCGTCGTCACTACGTTCGATTTGGACGACGATCAAGGTGACGAGCAAAGGGCAGAAGAACGAACGTGACGTTCGATCTGCGTGTCTCTCATTCGTCGATCTACATTTATATACAGGGTGTTTCGGTGAAGAAATCTTTGAAACACGATGGAAGATAAAGGCTCATCTTCCTCCGCTTCGTTCGATATAAAGAAAAAAAAAACTAAATTTTCCTGGTTTTTAATTCTCCTGAGATCTATCTGTTATCGCAGAGTTCGTGTTTTTTGAAACTTTTTGTGTCTTATTTAATTATAAAACTGTTTTCAAGAATGTTTGCACTATACTCGATTTAAAAGAGCTTTTCTAAGGTAATTTCTCTGAATTGGCTGTAACGAAATCTGTGGGAATTCTTAAAAATTTCATTCGAGAGGAAAACCGAAGGTCACTTTTAAAACTTTCATTGGAAATAGTGAATAGTGAAACATTCGAGTGGCCATTTCGTGTGATATTTTAATACAAAAATCATAACTCTACGTTCTTAAGTATATTTATGAACTCTGAGAACCGAGAACATCCTTCCTTTGCCACAAATTCCCATTTAAAATCCCAAAAGCAATCTTTATTCCAAAAATTGCTTTCTATCCTTTACAACATTCATCTTTTACTAGAAAACCCATAATCTGTTGCTCTCATAGCGAAAACTATAAAGATTTAAACCGATAAAAAAAAGTAAATTAAAAAAAGAGACTTAACCTAAAAAGAACTGAAACTTAAAACTTAACCTTAAAAAAAATAAACTAATTATATTTTTCAAACGTAATTCAATGAAATATAATATATATATATGGAGAAATCACAAAGAAATTTTAGTTAAAATAATTTTTCTCATGGACTTCTTGACCAAAATATATTTTGCGTGGCAAAAGGATACAATTGACAATGTCTCAATCCTGTATGTACAATTCATCAGGCAAGTGGAATAATTTTCCAGTGGAAAAGTTTGAACACTGTACTGGAGAAATTTAGTTGAATAACGTTGAAAAAGGAGGATTCCACGAATCGAATATCCATTGCTCGAGTGTGTTTATTTAAATTGTTGGGAAAATGTGCGCAGAAATATGTACGCCGGCGTCCGGCAGACGCCTCGAGACTTGCCAAGGGTTAATGAACAAGATATGTTTGCTCGACGATTTCAAAATGCCATATTACGACCGCGATCACTGTGGCGATTGTCAAAATTGTGCTGGCAAGGTTACAACAGAAGTTATGAGACTATGTGACTAACGTGCGCATACGTGACTGACACATTAAGTTTCAATATTGTCGATCGATCTCTCCTCTGATTCACCCTGCTGCTCAGATGATCTCGATAAATATAAAGAAGTCACTTTGTATTTTTCTCGAATGTTTCAATCGTCAAATATTGACATTAAAACTTTAAATTAACTGTGTTTTTCAAACAGTTGAAAATGTGGAAACCTTGATCATCTGTGGTAACTTGAAGAATTTCTTTTACAAGTAAAATGCATTGAAAAGTCTTGATTAAGAAGATTAATTTCAGCTGGTAGGGTATCTAGGATAGTAATACTGATAATGAACTTCATAGTAGCTAATATGTTCACCTAAACATTCTAAAAATTCTTGATATTTATCTAATACAATTCTTTCTGCAACATTTCAGTGCTCTTCTCATAATTCATTTAAAAGTTTTCCTAGATTTATTAAGATATTGGCTATGAAAAAGTACGAGGAAAGACTCGTGAAGAGGAGATCAGCGTCCAAGTTTCAGAGTAGCTCGAGAAATGTAATATTGTATTAAACGAGATGGTATATAATCGATCGTGTCACGTGATGGTGTGGCAGTGGGAAAGAATAAGATACGCAAGGTGTGACAAACACGTTGTACTTTCCATAAGATACATTCTGACAAACTATAATAAACGTACCTACGTTTTTCGACAGTTTTATGAAAGAATCATTCTATCGCTAGAAAATAAGGAAAACAGCTAAACCTGAAAGTTAACAAAATATGTAACTCTTTTCTGCAAATTTGATTGCAAATTGGAATTTCTTTCAATAGAAAGATAATAATCCACTTTTTATGAAAAGAAACATTAGTCTCTATTCAATTTTTTCTTTTAAAATTACGTAAATGATAGTATAAACCATTTGTTTCCCATGTATTTTATAAAATGCTTATCAAAAGTATTAAATAAAAACAAAAATCAAAAGTTGTAAAAATGAACTTAGTAAATAGAATGAAAATTATTGCGTCGAGTTTGTCAAATCTAATCTTAAAGGCTGATTTACAAAATGAACAACTACATCATCTTCACTTTCAAGTACAAAAAAATCCCACTGTTAACTTACTCCAAAATTTATGTCAATTAAAAGTAACATTAATCTTAAACTGAACCTTAAAGCTAACTTATAAAATGAACAATCATAAATATGAAACAATCACCACCTATGCAATCTATTTCATCTCTACTTCACAAATAAATTATTCCAAAATCCGTATCAATCAAATCAAATTTAATTCCAAAAATTTCCTCCATACTAAACCCCCTAATGTCACAAGAAACAAACAAAACCAAACTCCACCACGAATCACGCGGAGTCACTTGATGAATTCAAGCGGTCGTGCGCGCGTACCAAAGAAATGGTGGAAACTTACATCGAAAGCTTTCGAATAGACATGTCGAATCCGCGCGCGTGTACCAATGTCTCCACGAAGCAACAACGGAACCACCTCAGCGAATAATCACAGGATCACGATCGTCGATGAAACACCACGAAGAAAACAAAGAGAAAGAAGCATAATCGTCAAATCTCCGTCGCGACGTGAAACAAAGAGGGGCGAGAAGCAGATGGTGCGCGCGCGGTGCCGCGACTAAAAGCGAGTAAAAGCTCGAACCGATCGTAAAAGCCGACCGTGGAGTCTCGCGAGTCCGATTTTAGAGGAGCTTGAGCCAGACGAGGAGAGAAGAACTCGCTTGACATCGCTTGGACGAAAAGGACTTTTCGTTTGGTTCCTCTTCATCTGCCATGGAGAGAAGAAGAAAGATCGGTGATCTTAGTGAATCCACGTAAAGGAAAGAAAGAACGTATCACTGATACCATATCACGAATTATAACATAGAAAGAAAGACCAAGAAGAAGATGAAGAGGAAGCAAAATAGGAAGGAGAAGAAGAAGAAGAAGAAGCAGAAGAAGAAGAAGAAGAAGAAGAGGCTCTGCAGCGGCGGTAGCAGTGGCGGTGTATTAACAAACCGCGTGAAAAGATCCCAAAAATAATTTCGGCGTGAAGAAATAAATCCGGGTGAGGCGGTCGCGAGGGTGCCTAAAAGAAGGTTCGCCACCGGCTGCCTTCTGGGAATGAAACCGGCATAGTAAGAACAACGATCAGCATCGTGGACCAAAGTAAAAAGTAATAGTAGTAGTAGTAGTAGTAATAGTAACAGTAGTAGTAGCAGTAGTAGTAGCAGTGGTGGTAGTACTAAGTAGTAGAAGAAAAAGAAAAAGAAGAAGAAGAAAAAGAAGAAGAAGAAGAAGAAGAAGGATGAAGAAAAGTCTGTAACAAGTGTAGAATACAAAGGACACAGGAAGCAAAAGTGTCGCAGAACCTTCAGCCATGTTGTGCACGGAGAATGGCCGTGCAGAGAGTGAAGAGATACGGGATGAAGACGAACGAATAATCGCCAACCGATGTGGCAAGGCAACGCGACGCAGTAAGGCAAGACAGGCAAGCAAAGCACAAGCAGGACTTACCTCTGCTGTTTTTAGAACTCCACTCCCAGAACTGCGCGGGTCGAGTCGAGCCAAAACCAAAATACCACCGATATAGCTTTTCTGCGATGGTCTTTGTGTGCGCGACCAACCAGCTCGTTCCTTTAGGACGTCCAACCGGCTTGCACCGGAGTCGAACGCCGACGAACTAACCTAACTGACGACGCGACCAAGACGACGATTATGACGACGACGACGACAACGACAACGAAGACGAAGACGGCGGGAGAAAAGAGTGCATCGAGAGGGAAAAATCGTTCGATGATCGTTCCCCGTTGTAAGATAGAGACCGTTTCACGATGGACTTCCGGTTTTTGGTCTCTTCAATCCTCAGAGTATTGAGGGATGCGTGGTGGTGATTTGTGATGGAGTAGTATATATGACGATGACTATGAATTGGGGTGTCAAGGTGGTTCTTTTTATTATACAGATTTTGAAAGTAGTTTTCTTTTCTTTCTTGAAGTTTTCAGATGATTTTTATTTTATATGAAGTTTTGGTTGGTAGAGGATCCCTGAATTGGTATATGATTTTTAGTGATTAGTGTAGTGAATTATGGTTGGTGGAGGAATTGCAAAATAGGTGTCTCTTGAGTTTGAGGATTAAGAATTGTTTTTTTTTTTAATGGATTTTTTAAGGGAAGAAGGTGAGAATTGAGGTTATGTTGGCTCTTTGGAAAGCAGTGGTGAGATTGTGTTGTGGAATAAGAGTTTGTTTTGAACAAAGGAGTCTTCTTTAGTAGTTGTTTCTTTTTCTTTTAATATCAATGACCAGTGTTATTGTCTTTGATTTTTTATTATTTTTAGTTTGGAGGATATTATAGTTGTTCGTGGTTGTCGATAAATTTAGTTCACATTCAGTGGCCATTTTATGCTTTGGGAAGAGAAAGACTCCCTCGTTTCTTTAGCTGGTTTTATGGTCGTACATATTCACGTATTTCTTCGAGATTATCCAAATTGATATTTTCGTAATTTTTTAAAGATGAGAAAGAAAGAAGAAACTTACCTTTCTATTGCATGTAGGAGCCAAGATACAGGGTCGGTGTTGCGTTCACGACGACGGTCCTTAAACACACAGAAAAAGAGCTCGTGACTTTCAAAAATTACACAATTTAAAGAAAATATCATGAAAGAATATATGTCTATAAGTTGTTTATATGTAGAATCCTAAAATAATGAAATCATTGAATTCATTGAAATATAGTATATTATATGTCATCGGAGATAAGGTCAAACGTGCTTCCACGTCTGAAATTTAATTCTTTTTCAATATTTTATCCAACTTAATACTCTATAATACTATGAAATCTGTATTCATCTATCAATGTTTAATTCTATATCCATATTCCTTTTACCAATCGTATTTTCTTTGTTCATCAGACTGTATTATACTATTAAGTAAATCATTTGCAACAATAATAATTAAAATACGAAAATGATACCTCTGATGATACTCAAAATCAACCAAAACTCCCAGAAATTTCAATTTTTATCATCAGACCATCCTAAATAATTAAATTTCGAAAAGAACGAATACAAAATCACTCCAAATCCATAAAAATCACTCCAAAGCTCATAGAAATTTCAATCCTCACCACTAAATCATCCCAAACAATGAAAATCCAACAATAACAAGTATAATAGAACCTCAAGGCAACTAAATTTTCATCATCGAAACGTTCCCAATAATTAACTAAAGCCAATCCTATCAAACTGAATCGAAAAGAAAGCCTTTCAGTAAGAACATAACAATAATAATAAATCCTAACAAAAAGTTGTATTATTTGTCATACGGAAATGGAGCTGCACCGTGTGTCTCGGTATTAATTGAAATTGGAAAATGACGAGCTGAATAGGAATATTCGTGACTGGGTTTAGTTTATTCAAAAGGACCCGATATAAATCGAGCAGAAGAGATGGCGAACAAGTGACGTGACATAATGTAATTCAAATCCGTTGCCCCTCTTCATTTCACCCCGCTGGTACCTGTCTCCAACGTTTGTTGTAAAAGCCAAAGGATCGAAATCCGTGGCCAATCCCGTCGGTAACCGTCCAAGTTTCCATAATTACTCCAAGCAATGGGATCAAGCTAGGGAAAAGCCAGTCACGGTGGAAGATTCGCGTGAATTCTTTATGCCATCTCGCCTCCGCTCACCGTATTCACCTTTAATCGGGTTAACAGAGCAAGGAAGCTCCTCCAAAATAGCGATCGTTATTAATTTAAGTCACTCTTAATATGGTTCCATGCTACGCCACCAGGAAAATCGTTACCCTTCTTTCTTCTGTCTCTTGTACTCTTGGTCGAGAGGGAATCGAGAAATCGTTATGCTTGGTTGTATGGAAATTTCAACGGCAGAGGAAAATGGCGGAGTTCGAAGGTTCATATCTGGCTGGTTTTTAACATCAGTTTATTCTTCGGTGAATTATACACCGTTTCCCCTTATAACATTATCATTAATTATTCGATTGGATAAATTAGGAAAATTCATAATTATCGTAAAATATAGTCACATTACTCTAAAGGTCGAAATTTTTGAAATTTTCAGAGTTAAACGAGAATGTTACAAAATAGGGGAATTTTGGTCTTCATCAGAATTGAAAAATAAAATAAGCGAATTCTGATCTTCATCGAAATCGACAAATTCTTTTATAGTGTGATTTCTGCATGTTTTAAGGAATCAGAAATTAATAGTGATTTATCCAGGATGGGAAATTTTTACTCAGAAATTGAAAAATTCACACTGTCAGAAATTCTCAACGTTGGAATTTTGAGACGCTTCCAAATTCCACAGATATGTGTACTTCCTACATATTTCTCATCGAAGAAGCAACACAGCCAATTCAAATTTTTCCTTAGGAAGCGTAGAACCAAAAGATGTATCGTCATCCCTTCAAACATTCCTCCACTTCCTCACGACCAGCTACCATTATTACGCCAGAACACGCGCGTCAGAAAGTCTCAGCTCAAAAAGTGAGCCAAATCTCGAAGATCGATTGATTCATTGATGAGATCACGAGGCTAAAAGCAGAATATATCAAAATAAACACTAATTAAATGAATAAAATAGGCGGACCGAAGATCACCGTTAGAATAAATTGCTGGAAAAAGTAGGAAATAATCATCATTGTCAGTTACTGAAAGAACTAAAATTTGCAAGTAGCAGAAATAATGAAACACTTTATGAATACATGGAGGAATGAGAAAAGAGGCAGATAATAGTTAATCAAAAATTCAATAGGTGAAAGGAATAGAAAAATAATCGACAAAAATTTATCGAAATTCACCCTTAGGAAGAATAACAAAAAATGAGAACAGTGATTAATCAAAATATGAATATTTGAGAAGAAGAAAGGAAAGATTCACCTAGTCCTTATTTTCAAGATATCGCGAAATCTAATTCACAGTTAAAAAAATGATTAAACCGAAAAACTTTCTATTACCTAACCTAACTTCAAAAATCATAGTAACAATTCATCAATTTAAAAATAATTTTATTAAATGAGCAGCTACACTAAAAAAAAAAATTGTGGAATCTTCTTGTTCACATTGAATTAATCAAGAAAAATTCCGGAAAAATTAACCCTATAGAGAAAAAGATCAGTAAAATGGACTGAATCTGTTCACCAAACTTTCAGATCATTAAAATCGAGTTAACGGTCGAAACGAGGGAAAGTTTTAGGGTGAAACGACGGCGACAATAATTTTTGCCTTCGTCGAAGCGGCGACTAGAAAAGAGGAAGGCATAAAACGACATTGCTCCGGATCGGCACGTGCCACTCGATAAATCTGTCGGCAGCTGACGGCACAGCCGGCTGCAGCCTCCCGCCTGCACTTGCGCTTTCTCCCTTCTTTCTCTCCTCTGCCTTCACCCCCGTGTATCTTGGCGTTTCCTTTACCGCCTCCTCCTCCTCCGCCACCTCCTCCGCGGACGCCTCCTTCTTTGCATTCCCTTCGCTCTTACGTGAACTCCTCGCGACCCTCCTTCGCGAGAACAAACTCTGTGAAACGGATGCTCGGTTCACACACCAGTATCCTATTGAATTCATTTTCTTGTCAATTTTGAAATTATTGTTGCTGTTACGAAGAATAATTTATTCTGTTTTTATGGGAATTTGAAAATTCTTGCGTTCCTTGTGATAGATAGTGATTTCAAATTTTTGGTTAACAGTGTATGTTGGAGAGAATGGGTTCGTTGGGAAATTTGGTAAAATTTAATAAGTTAGGATTGAAATTGGAGGTAATAGTAAAAGTAATAAAAAATACAATCTCTTGTGCTTCCGTTTTGGTCGCAATATAATGTGTACCATAAGCATGACTCCATGTTATGAGGTAACGGGTTAATCGCTTCACTCCTTAATCTATAATAACGTTGAGTCATACTTGTGGTATGGTTCAATCTTGAAGAAAGAAGGAATAAAACTACTGGTAACAATTTCTTTGCGTTCTTCTCAAAGATCGGGAAATTTTTTATGAGAACTCTGTCATTTATAGAGGGTTGATTGATTGCCTCATATGTATTCTAAAAAGATTCAGGGACAAATGGAAGGTTTTCACACATTTTCAAACTTGTTAACTTTTTTCTAAAATATTCCATTTTTAAAATCCTTCTCGTTACAATATTCGAAACTTTCACCAGATTATTTCATTTCCATCATATTCAACATTTTTCCACTAATTTTTTCCACAGAAAATCGAAAAATTTGTTTTAGGAAATTCCATTAAAAATATATTTAACCAAAATATTGAACATGCGTTATCTTCGCTCTTACAACAAGTCAAACAAAAGAAAATCTTGTATCTCTTGCTTATTAGATATACAGGGGACAAATATATCAGATTTCAAGATACGCAGGGATTACGTAAAAGAGACGTTTCTCGAGGAAAACAGAAAGGGAATTTTCCGGCTGAAGCGTAACTACCGCTGAATTCCACTACAGATACATAGATCCCGTTTCTTCAGCTAGATCTTTCCGCCTCTAGCTCTGAACGGTCCAGGAGGGCCTGCATCCCCAAGAGAACGTGTGCACACGTGTATAATCCATGCTGCAGCGAACGAGGATGCTCGAGAGAAGGGCTCCTGCGCTTTTACACACGCGTTTGTTTCATCTACGCGTGCTAACACGTCCCTTGATTACAATTAGTTTCTCTGAAATCTTAATAATTTTTTCGAGAGTCTAAAAATTCAATATTAAGGTTCACCCGTTATACTTTTCCTGTTTAACTCTTTCGTGACGCATATGTCCCACTTGAGTACTCGAACAAAACTTGATCTCAATTTAGCATCCATTACAGATATGCTGATTGGTAGTTAAACCATAAAATTAAAAAACAATAATTCGGTTACGAAAGGGTTAGGAATTGACTTCTTTTCTTTCTTTTTTTTTTTTTTTTTTTTTAAAAAGATTT